TCTTCTTCTTCTTCTTCTTCTTCTTCTTCTTCTTCTTCTTCTTCTTCTTCTTCTTCTTCTTCTTCTTCTTCTTCTTCTTCTTCTTCTTCTTTATAAGCCTTTGCCCTTTTGACTCTGCCTTCCATTCAGATGTGATCATGGACAGAAGAGCAGGTGGGCAGCAAGCAAACTCTGAGGCCTTTATAGACCTTTGGAGCTCTGAGAGTGAGCTCTGAAGGCTTTTATAAGCCTTTGGACTCCACTTCCCTGTGAGGCCTGCTCACCTGCCCATATCAGGGCATATAAGCCCAATAAAAGCCTTCAGAGCTGGCAGAGTGAGCGCCGAAGGCCTATAAAAGCCTTCAGAGCTCACTCTTGGAGCTCAGTTGGGCCGACCCAACCAGGAGGTGGGCTCCAAAGGCATTTAAATGCCTTCAGAGCTCACTTTCAGGTGGGCCAAATTCCCCAAACTGCCCAAACCATGAACCAGTTTGGCAAATGGAGGAGTTTGTTGGAGGTTTGGGGTTTGTGAAAACCTTGAACCTCCAAAGAACCTCCAATTTCCTCATTTGTGCCCACCCCTCCTTTTGACATTTAAAAGCCAGAGGATAAGAACATAAGAACATAAGAACATAAGAGATGCCAATGTTGGATCAGGCCAAAGGCCCATCCAGTCCAACACTCTGTATCCCACAGTGGCCAGAAATACCAGTGCCATCAGGAGGTCCACCAGTGGGGCCAGGACATTAGAAGCCCTCCCACTGTTGACCCCCCCCAAGCACCAAGATGACAGAGCATCACTTGCCCCAGAGTCCCTATCTATACCTTGTGGCTAATAGCCACTGATGGACCTCTGCTCCATATGCTTATCTAATTCCCTCTTGAAAGTTCTCCTTTCTTACTCATTCTGTTAAGAACTGTAAACGGCAGACATACTAACTGCTTTTAGGATGGCATGGTTACAGAAGAGGAGAGGGTCTTTATGTGAACACATGTATCAGCAATGAAAAAAGTTACCTTCAGCATGACTGGAAGTGGGCACAGAATAAGAGAGTCCCATGCATTTTCTTTAGACCGTCCCATGGAACAGCGTTCAACAGATCTTATATAGCAGTCAACAACTGGATAGCACTTTGGCTAAAGCAGGGCAGATGTTTATCTACACAATAGTAGTTAAGTATCTCGTTCCATTGGAAGAAAACACTAGGAGTGTGCATTGCAAAATTTCCGAGCTGAAAATGCACACCAAAGTCATCGATGCAGGTTCTGGAATCTACAATGTTCTGGAATGGTAAAACAAATCCCAGATTCTTAGGCATTACGAAACACCCCTGCTCTGGATAATTCATCTTGTTTTTCATGTCCAGGTGCTTACCATCAGGCATCTTGGTTTTTCTATGATTCTCCAAATTTCCCAGGCAGTGGCATTTCTCCTTTGCAGTATTGATCCTTGCAAAGTTCAAGATGTGAATTCTCCTAGTGTTTTCGCCTTCCTGGACCAGTCCTAGAGAAGGAATTTTTATGGAGGAGTCTGTGCTAAGTTGTTCTCAGTAGTCTCAACTAGGGGTGGGCATGAACCCGCTCACAAACCTAAATTCCTGACAAACCAGGGTCAGGTTCATGGTTCACAAACTATGGTTCATGCAGGGCCGGCCCCAGCTTATTTTGCACCCTAGGTTCATGGTTCACAAACTGTGGTTCATGCCATCCTGCCCTCACGAGCCACATGAACCTCCCACGAACCTTTCAGGTGTCTTCGTGGGGGTCGTGTCGGCAGACACACTGACTCCAGTGACAGGGCTTGGAGAAGGCATTTAAAGAGACTGTGGTTTCCTCAAATGCTTTCTCCAAACTTGCAAAACCATTTAAAGGACTTATTTTTAGTTCTGGTTTTAGTGGTTTTAAAATGTGGTTTTATTATGGACATGATAGCGGTTTATAAAATTATGCATGGGGTGGAGAAAGTTGACAAAGGGTTTTTTTTTCTCCCTGTCCCAAAATTCTAGAACTCAAGGGCATCCAATGAAGGTGATGGGCAGTAGGTTCAGGACAGACAAAAGGAAATACTTCTTTACACAATGAGTGAGTAACATATGGAGTTTGCTGTCAAAGGATATAGTGATGGCCATAGGCATAGATGATTTTATAAGGGGATTAGACAGATTCATGGAGGATAAGTCTATCAGTGGCTACTACCCGTGGTGACTGAGGGGAACCTCCAGACTCAGAGACACTTATCCTCTGAATCCCAGAGCCAAGAGGCAACATCAGAGGAAAGACTTGGCCTCTGTATGCCCTGCTGTTGGTCATTCAGAGAAACTGGTTGCCCCTTATGTGAGACAGGATGTTGGACTAGATGGACCACTGGTCTGATCCAGCAGGGCTCTTCTTATGTGTATTTTAATCTATTCACTGCCGTCATGGCCCTTGTGAGGGCACAAAGGTGGGAAACAAATGTTGTAAAATAAATAAAATAATTTTTCTTCAAAGTTCAGTTCAGGCAAGATTTCAGAAACTGTTTTTAAGAGTGGATGCTCCGAAACTCTTTTCCCGTACATGACTCCATGGAAAGGAACCAGGTGAGCAATCATGATGAAAATTTAGTAAGAGTGAAATCATGGGTTGCAAATTGGGTGTCATGTGAGGTAAAAAAAAATATCAGAAATTATATAGAAGACTTATGAAAACAAAACACATCATTGGCTCAACCAACTTTAAGGACTGTATAAAAACCTGCACCGCACTGAGCCTCCTACACCAGCAGCTCCTGATACAGAGATTCTTCCCTTGAGTTCTTTCCATTGGAGAACCAGGTAAGGTTTGCTGAGATAGATTTTGACTTGCCGTTACACAAAGACTTGGAAACTGTTCTTGATTATCTTTCCAGACTAGTATTCTTGTTTGTTATTTGTTTGTTCGTAACTGAAGGGAACCTCCACCTTCAGAGGCAGTCAGCCTTTGAATCCTAGAGCCAGGAGGCAACATCAAGGAAAGGCCTCGGGCTCTCTGCCCTGTCCTTCGCCGTCCAGAGGAACAGGCTGTGCACTGTGTGAGACAGGATGCTGGACTAGATGGACCCTCACTGGTCTGATCCAGCAGGGCTCTTCTGAACCTCCACCTTCAGAGGCAGTCAGCCTCTGAATCCTAGAGCCAGGAGGCAACATCAGGGAAAGGCCTCAGGCTCTCTGCCCTGTTGTTGGCCATCCAGAGGAACAGGTTGGGCACTGTGTGAGACAGGAGGCTGGACTAGATGGACCAGTGGTCCGATCCAGCAGGGCTCTTCTTACATTCTTATGTTCTTAACTGGGCTTAACAAGATCTCAGCCTCACTGTTTACTTCATATGACTGAGAACGTAGAACCAGAAGAAAAGCTAAGCAATTTTTGGTACTGTTCTTATGCACTTCAAATGCGGATTTCAATGCCCTAGTGAGTTCTGTGAAGTAGCTGAAGTGACATGGAATATCCTTGAGCATTCCAACAGTACTTGTAGTAGGATATGAGCTTTCATGGGTTACTGAAGTGACATGGAATATCCTTGAGCATTCCAACAGTATTGGTAGTAGGATATGTGCTTTCATGGGTCACTGCTCTCTTCTTCAGATACTTCAGAAGAAGTGAACAGTGACTCATTAAATCTCATACCCTGCCACAAATTTTGTTAGTCTTTAAGGTGCTACTGGACTCTTGCTCTTTTCTATTGAGACAGACAGACAGACACACAGAGATGGGGGGGGGGTAAGCAGAAGGGCCAAATGCCTGGGCTTGGAGGGCAGGTTGCCCTTTTCCTAAGTAGCCCAATGAGCCATACAATACACTGGAGAACAGCAAGCCCAGCCAGTCATGCCTCCTTGGAAGTGAAGGGGTTGGCAAAATGAGAGCCACTGCCCTGACTACCATAGATGGAAATGTCACATCTGGAATTGCAGTAAGTAGTCAGGCCCATGGTCTCTTGAAAACACAAATTGGAGTTAAGCACTGTCCAGGCTTGGAACCTGCAGACACATCTGGTGACTGAAGGATTTCTGTCAGTGAGACATGACATCCTCATTCCCCGCCCACACACACCACGGTATTTTGTGACTCCTGTTTTGTTGACCTCCATCAACTCCTGTCTACCACCCTGTTATGTTCCTTCAGGTCCTCGCACCAGCAGAAGAAAGATGTCTTGTCAGTGGAACCAGTGCTCCTCAAGCTGTCCTCCCATGACCGTGTCCATCCAACCACCACCTTTCATGGTGAAGGTTCCAGGGCCATCCATGTACTGCGCCGACCGACCCCTGTGCATAGAGCAGTGCAACCCTTGTGCTCCATACTGCCCGCCCATCGGCAACGTATGCAACCCTTGTGCTCCATACTGCCCACCCATCAGCAACATATGCAACCCTTGTGCTCCATACTGCCCGCCCATCAGCAACGTATCCTACACTTCCCTTCCCAAGGCTCCAACCAAGTGTTTCCAGAAGCCACTGTCAAGATTCCAGAGTGATTGCTACTCTTGCTACTAATGCTGAGCCCAAGACCTGCAACCCTCCAAAGAGTGAAGAGCCAAGAGTTAGAAATCCAAGTTCAGTTCCCGTAATGCATGTTTGACTTGCCCCACTTTCTCAGCGGGGAATTGGTTTCCCATGTTGCAAAAAAAAAAAAAAAAAAAAAACAAAATAGAAGGGGTCGTTTTTTCCTCTCATTAAATTATTGGTTTTGTTTATGGTAAATGAAGAAATTTGTTTCATTTGGCACCCGAAACATCAGATTGTGAAATTGTACCATTTATCTTTTGAAAAATAAAGTCCTCCCTGCATCATAGCTTCTGGTTCCTGTTTTGGTCATTTCCTGTGATGAATTGCCCCCATAAACGGATACCATGCCTGGAGGAATTTGGCCGGTCACAAGCTAAAGGGACAGAAGAATTGTCTCACTCAGTTAGAGAATGCCCCATGCTTTTTGGAGCCATGGTTTCATGGAAACCTTTCATGGTATGGTAAAATTCAATGGGCCGTGGGACTAGAATTGCTACTGGTATGGCCCTTTATGCTTGATTACACTTTTTTGTTGTTGTTGTTAGTTCTTAATCTTGCATCTTTAGTAACCCTCAACTGTACAAGAGATTGGTTACTGCATAGATTAACTTTCATTTTAACAGCGGCATATTGAGAGTACAAATCACTTTATTTTGTAACGGTCAGATTCCACAGCCAACAACTGAGTACACGCTTATGAGAAAGGTTATACTTTATTTCAGAGCTATAGATGCAGTAACAAAGTCACTGTTAAGAATGGTGTCACCCCTACAAGCATAATGGGATATAAGGTATTTGTATGCACACACCCCTTCCTTAGGCCAATTAGCCACATTCCCGTGTGCGGGAGAAGGAGCCCCAGGCCGTTAGAGCCGAAGCTGGGAACCAAAAGCGCTCCCACGGTTCCCTGAATCCCAGACACCACACACCACCTGCAAGGCCATAGATAAGCAAGTATTACAGAAGCAAAGAAGGAATGCAGTGGTACTTGGTACACAGGGCATGCAAGCATCCCACCCCCAACACTTATGGCAGCGTAGCTGACAGTAACATGTATCTTAGAATTTTTTATGCCATCATATGAAAGGTCATCATACCAAAGGACTCACAATAATGGGTCTAAATTAAGGGCAGGAAGGTACCGGCTGGATATTATGAAAATACTTTTTTACAGTTTTGGGGTGAAGCCCAAGAATAATGAGACAAGAGTCCTCCTCAGGGCATAATGCCATAGAGTTCACCCTCCAAAGCAGCCATTTTCTCCAAGGGAACTGATCTCTCTGTAGTCTGGAGATGAGTTGTAATTCTCAGAAATGTCCAGACTGCTGCTGGAGGCTTGCAACCCTACCAGCTCCATGGCAAACTGAAACCCCCATTGGTAGTCCATTTGTCCATTTTGACTGCACCATTTTTCAAGGAACTCAGCGCAAACTGAGAGCCAGTGTGGTGTAGTGGTTAAGTGTGCGGGCTCTAATCTGGGAGAACCGGGTTTGATTCCCCACTCCTCCACTTGCACCTGCTGGATTACCTCGGGCAAGCCATAGTTCTGATAAGAGCTGTTCTTGAAAAAGAGCAGTTTCTGTCAGAGCTCTCTCAGCCCCACCTACCTCACAGGGTGTCTGTTGCAGGGAGGGGAAGGGAAAGGAGATTGTAAACTGCTCTGAGACTCCTTTGGGAAGTGAAGGGCGGGGTATAAATCCAATCTCTTCCTCCTCCTCCTCCTCCTCCTCTACTTCTCTTCACACAATTCCTCTTGAAGCTGTTTAACCTCTTTAACCTTTCTTCATAGGGAAAGGTGTTCCATCCCCTTAATCATTTTAGTTGCACTTCTCTGCGCTTTTTTCAATGCTATCATATCATTTCTGAGATGAGGCCAATTTGAGAGCCAGTTTGGTGTAGTGGTTAAGTGTGTGGACTCTAATCTGGGAGCATTGGGTTTGATTTCCCACTCCTCCTCTTGTACCTGCTGGATGACCTTGGGCAAGCCGTAGTTCTGATAAAAGCTGTTCTTGAAAAAAAAGCAGTTTCTGTCAAGAGCTCTCTCAGCCCCACCTACCTCACAGGGTGTCCGTTGTGGGTAGGGGAAGGGAAAAGAGTTTGTAAGATGCTCTGAGACTCCCTTGGGTAATGAAGGGCAGGGTATAAATCCAATCTCCTCTTCTTCTTCTTCTTGGTTAGGAGCGCGGACTCTAATCTGGGAGAACCGGGTTTGATTCCCTACTCCTCCACTTGCACCTGGCTGGTTGACCTTGGGCAAGCTGTAGTTCTGATAAGAGCTGTTCTTGAGAAAGAGCAGTTTCTGTCAGAGTTCTCTCAGCCCCACCTACATCACAGGGTGTCTGTTGCAGGGAAGGGAAAGTAGTTTGTAAATTGCTCTGAAACTCCTTTGGGTAGTGAAGGGCGGGGTATAAATCCAATCTCTTTTTCAATTGAGACCTCTGATACCAGACCTCCTCTAAGGACGGTTCCGAATGCCCAAGTCAGACTTATGTACGACAGTGGGCGTGGCGTGAGTAATTTTCCAGTGTATACAGAGGTCAGATTGGCCAACGAACGCTTCTATTTCCCAGGAAGTGAGACAACACACTAGGTTTAATGAATAAATGTTGCCTTTTACTAAGCAGTTCTCAAGCATACGAAAAACAGATGCACACGCAGAATCACACAAGTTCCTTAGTTACAATAGTATATAGAAAGCAATCAGCAAGGAAAATAAGAAATTCAACAGACAAGGGGGATAACACAGCAAGCTATCGCTTATACTTCTCTGAGGTCCAAGCTGAGAAGAAATCTCCTCGTAGAAGAAATGGGGCAGCTTAAGGATCAGCGGGTGAACTCTAAAAACACACGGACTGGTCCAGCCAAGCCATGTGCGGGTTCTCGGGTCGCGATTCCCGGGAACGCAGTAAGAATCACCTGCAGTACTTAAGTTGCAAGGTAAGGAGGGATGGGTTAACCAGAGAAACAAAGGCTGTGTTTCTCTTTTTAAAAGCTAGTTTTTGGGTTTGGCTTAAGGCCAATAAACCCTTAGCGTCAGTCCTCTTTACTATGGCTATAGGCTAAAGAGTTGCGACGTCCTAATCGAGGGGAAGGGGGCAATATGCAGATGCTCTGCCCTAACTTCAAAGATAGAGCCATGTGGCCAGGTGTGAAACCGTTGTTTCCATTGGCAACCTTTGACTTGCAGAGATGTGCCTGCTCCATGACGGGCAATAAAGGAAGTTTTCTTTGTGATGCCAAACCAGATAGCAGGAAGAGTTACATGGTTTCCCACAGTTCAGCAATGGTGGGAAAGCCTGTTGTTTCTCCAAGTGTCTCAACTGGGCATAATGGCACTGGTCTTCTTTGTCCAGAGGCATGCTGGGAAGATGCAGGGAAGCACGTGTTCTGTAGTCCAGGCAGCCCAAGCCTTGCCCATCCATAGGCAAGCATGAGTTGCAAGGCAAGCCATACAAACACAGCAGCAAACACAGCAGTAATCCCTGAGTCCCAAATGCACAAATACACAGACATCTGACAGACATAGCAGCAGCACAGTACAGACAATGCAGTTACAAGCACACATGGTTACACCTCACCATTGAATTATACAGGGGCATTACGGTACTGACTGGTTAATCTGTCGCCCTCTATCAGCACCTTTTGCTGGCAAATGAAGACTTTTTGGTTAATCTGGCACACCCCGAATACTTGTTACTGGCCCTACTTCTAATGCTGCTTGTTTATGTATTTTTAATAGAATTATTTTATGATTTTATCTTTTTTTTAAATTCACCACCTTGTTGACCCTGATTGGGCGCAAAGGCAGCATAAAAGTGCTTCAAATAAATTCATAATATAATATAGATTTGTGATCCACATGTTGGTTTGAATTCCACATATTACTTCTACTCTTCTGGGCATGAGACCACAGTCACTGGGTGTGTGTGGGGGGGAGGTATTTGTGAATTTCTTGCCTTGTGCAGGGGGTTGGTCTAGATGACCCTGGGGGTCCCTCCCAACTCTATGATTCTATAATTCTATGTGTTTTCTACAGGTATGAAGAAAGGGGGGAAATATAATTTTGGAATTGAGTCTTTCCGTGCAGGCACATTTCTCTCCACTGATTTGTTGTGTTTTTTTTTTGGGGGGGGGAATAACACTGACCAGTGGTATTTTTTAAAAGTCCTGTCAGCCAGTTTGGTGTAGTGGTTAGGCATGCGGACTCTAATCTGGGAGAACCGGGTTTGATTCCCCACTGTTCCCCATGCAGCTGCTGGTGTGTCCTTGGGTCAGTTACAAGTTCTCTCAGGGCTGTTTTCTCACGAGCAGTTCTCAAAAGAGCTTTCTCAGACCCACCTACCTTACAGGGTGTCTGTTGTGGGGAGGGGGAGGGAAAGGGACTGTAAGCCGAGAATCCTTCAGGTAGTGAAGGACAGAATATAAATCCAATCTCCTCCTCTTCCTCCTTTTTCTTCTTCCATTTTTAACATAAACCTTCATTGACTAACAATTAAAGAAAAAACATTTTTCTGCTGAAAAGTCTGTGTTTGCCATCCTTCCTTGTAGTGGTTCATCCTCCCCCTGCCCTGCACTCTTCCACCCCGTCCCAGAATTCCAGTCCAACCCCTTCACAGTGCAGTTACTACAAATATAATATCCCCAACAAATAGGTATCAAGATGATCCTTAAAACTTTCCAATGATGAAGAATCCAAGTAAAACCAAAATGTCTGATGGTAAGCACCTGAACATGAAAAACATCATGAATTATCCAGGGCAAGGGTGTTTTGTAATGCCTAAGAATCCTGGATTTGCCTTGCCATTCCAGAAAATCATAGTGTCAACCTGAAACAATGATTTTTGTGTGTATTTTCAGCTCAGGAATATTGCAATGCACACTCCTAGTGTTTTCCTCCAATGGAACAAGATGTTTAACTACTATTGCCCAGATAAATATCTACCAGTTTGGTGTGAGAGCCAGTTTGGTGTAGTGGTTAAGTGTGCGGACTCTAATCTGGGAGAACTGGGTTTGATTCCCCACTCCTCCACTTGCACCTGGCTGGGAAAGGCGTTTGTAAGCCGCTCTGAGACTCCCTTGGGTAGTGAAGGGTGGGGTATATATCCAATCTCCTCCTTCTCCTCCTCCTCTTCTTCTTCTTGG